ATGCCACGCTGCAGGGACACCCCAGCACCCTGTGGTGGGTGGTGGCCAGGCACTCTCACCGTGCAAGCTGTGCTCTCGCTGTCCGACAGCCGCTGGTGCAGGTCAAACCAGAGAGTCTGGGAAGAGGGAAGAGCAGTGGGGGGGTGGACTGAGGTTGCGTGTCCCTCCCAGACTGGTGGGTTTCTGTCCCCAGCACTTGGCATGATGGGCTGTGACCCTTCTCTGCAGGGGACGGCTCCGAGAACTGTTTGCGCCTTCGCGCCCTTCCATTCAGGACCCTCTGCAAAAGCTCCCCATGCTCCAAGCGCAGCTGATATCCATGACACCATGTCCTTGCATCAGCCCCAAAACAGCTGTCACCTTTTCACCATCCCTGAATTGTCCCTGGGGTGCCAGGAGCAAGGGTACCTATCCCTCCTCAGTGCCCATTCGTTCCTTCCCAACCCCGGGCACACTCTTATTTCCTCGGGCAACCATGATGGACATTTTTCTGCCCTCAGCCTTCACGGCACCTCTCTGCCCCCACGTACAGCACCACCCTGTCCCCTTCTGCCCTGAAAGTGCAAACCAGGAGGATTTCAGAAACAACTCCTGTGCTGCAACGTTTTCTCCTTCAGTCCCTAGATGGAGTAAGACTGTCTCTGCAAGAAACGTTGCCGCCTTATGTTTTTTTCTTGTTTAAATAAACTCACAGTTAAACATTCCACAGTCAATAGCTGCTCTCAGCTCATCAGATGTAACCACCACCACCACCCCAGCTCCCACCCATGGCCCATGCACACCACAGCACAGGGATGGGCATGGCCGCCTCTTGGTCACCTCCATCCCAACCAGGGGAGGGAGGTGGTGGGGCTGTGGGGACACCCAAGGGACAACCCCATGTGTGGAAACGCTGGCCCTTACCTTGTCCTCCAGCCTGCCGATCAGCTCGGCCAGCCTGTTGATCTGCCCCTCCAGCCCCTCTGCCTTGGTGTCAGGGGAACCTGCGTGGAGCCAGGAGGCAGTGATGGAGCGAGACACACCCGTGGGCACCCCCAAGAGCCCCACTGCCCTCCGGGGAAGTCAAGCATCACTTCTGTGCTGCTGCCGGGACTGCAGCTCCCTTCCTCAAGTGCCCCGAGCCACCACAGGCTGCCAGCGCGGCCGGGAAGCAGCCATCGCTTACCAGTCTGGAAGCTCTTCCTGTGCTCCCTGGGGACCATCTGGCTGGTGGGAGAGTAGCTGGGCATGGGGCTGTCGTACCAGGTGTCCATCAGACTGTGGCCAGCCTTGCTGGGGTAGTGCCTGAAACCAGAGAGCACGCAGGCCGTCAGGGAGGGCAGAGCCAGGCATGTACAGCCTGCCGTGAGCGGCCCCGGGGAGCCAATGTTGGAGCAGCCTTTCTGGCAGCTGTGCCACCAATGCCAGACCCCTTGGAGAGCAACAGTGCCCGGGCAGCGTAGGCTTCCCTCCCGTACCATACTTCAGTGTCACCTGGAGTGGGGGGGGTCAGAATTAAAGCAACATCCGTGGGCTGCTCCCAGCAGCCGTCACTTTTCTCTCCTGCTTATGAAACACGGCAACAGCCCTCCTGGCATCTCCTGCAGCCCCTGGGGATTTTTTTCTTCCCTAGGCAGACACCCACAACATTGGGCATTCGGGCGCTGGCAGCTGTGCCTAGCCAGCTGGCTGCACCTTAGCAGGCCTGGTTTTGCAGTTGGATGGTTTTGGCGACTAACACATGGGAACAGTTGCTGGCACACAGGCAGCACACAGGCTGCCCATGCCTGAACTGCTGCCCGTGAGCAGGGAAAGCCTGGCAGCCTGGCTGTGCATTCCCACCAACAGGCTGCAGCTGCAGTTCTCCTGGAGAATGGAGACACATCCACCGTAGCATCTCCTCCACCTTGCTTCTTCCTTTGGGGCTAGAAAGCCCATTTGGCCTGGCTCATCCTGCAACGCCTCTTGGAGAAAAGATGCAAGTGTGCACACTCACGTATGCATGTACCCCTGAAACATCAATGACCATCCAGCCTCAGCTTCTCAGTGGTCCCCCCAGGTCCTTGTTCATTTGCAAGCCAGAGAGGATGCTAAGACCTGCCATCCCCACAAGGGTGTGCAGCAAGATGGGAATGGTATTTGGGAAGGAAGACCCTCTCTTTCCTTCCTCGTCCACTGATGGGAAGCCTGAGCAGCAGAGGGAGAGGCTGAGCTGCTCAAAGGGTTTCCAGCGTCTCCTTCCAGTGAGAGCAGCTCCATGCTGGCTGCCCGGTGACGGAAGTGCCTGGGAGCCCCAGCTCCTTTTGGCATCTCTTGCCAGCCATGAGGCTCCTGGCTGGAGATAACACACTGAGCGCAGGGGAGCCAATGGGCACAACACCAGCCAGCGTTGTTGCTGCCCTCCTGTCCCTCCCCAGGCACACAGCTCCCTCCAAAGCACAGCAGCCAGGTGCCCTCTTTACCCTCCCCAGCTATCCCAGTTAATTTCAGCTGGCTCCTTTGGTGCCGAGGGAGCAATGTCTGGGCTGCCGTTGTCCCCTCAAATCAGCCAGTGTGGACTTGACCATGCACACAGGAATGTGACGAGTGGATCTGGTCCTGAAGAATATTCCCAAGATAAAGAAGCAAGAACAGCGATAAAGGTGGCAGGAACATCCCCGTTGCTACAGGCTGTGCAATAATCCCACTGGCGCTGAATAATCCCCCATCAATAAGCAGGAAATTAGGCGAGAACAGACAGAGATTTCTTTTTAATCACAATTTAATGAGGTGTCTCAGGCTTGGACGCTCTGCTCTTGCACTTCATTTTACAGCCCTTTATTTTGTTGCTTTTTAGGCCACCTCTTTGTCTTCATGTGGATGCATGAGATCATGTTTTGTGGGTTTGGGGTTTTTTTTGGCTATTATCACCATGAGAAAACAACTACAATACTCCTCATTATGAACTGGGCCCACACGTCGACAAATAAAAGCCAGCAAAGTCTTTCATGGGCTCTAATTGCTCCTTCTGATGTTGGGCTTGTTTCCTCATTGTTTCCCAGGAGCTCTTTTTCCACGTGTTTTGTACAAGGTTTACCACAGGCCAGTGGTTTCCTTCCAAAATGGGGAGAAGAAAGCAATGTGGGGTGATGAAACCCAGAGCATTCCTCCTAGGAAAGCTGGTGAGATGCCACCAGAGCTGCCCAGGGTCTCACTGTGCCCCAGGCAGCAACAGCTCCTGTGAGACCAGCCCACTGCTGCCTGTCCAGGATGCAACTGCTGCTGATGTTAAAACCCAAAACACCAAGACCTGGCTGCAGCAAAGCATTCAGGCACGTCGGTCCCTGTGGTGTCCCAGTGGGGAGCTGGGATTTTCACTCTCTGTGGTCCATGTGCCTTGGCCCCCTCTGCCCACCCGTGGCACAGGGAAGCCAAGGCATCCCCCCAAGGATCCTGTGGCCTCCTGGTTTGCAGGTATGGCAGAAGAGGGATTTGCTTCCTGAGCATCTGATCAACGGTTTCCGTGGCAACCTGTCCTGGTTACAGCCAGTGACAGAGGTACTCCGGGGAGGCAAATGACACTGTGACACCAAGGGGGGCCGTGCTGAGGTTTGGGCTATGCTGCCAGGTACCCCTTATATTTTAGCCCCGGCAGCACTTGAGAAATCTTGACACTCTCTCTTCTGTCTTCTCAAAGCTCGGTAGCACGTGCTGGGCTGCTGGGATGGGGATGGTCCCCTCACATGGGACCTGAAGACGGCAGTATCTGTCCCCAGTGCACAAACACCTTTCACCTCTGTGGATGATTTCACCCACTGGATGCCCCAGCAGGAGGGACAGCATCCCTGGCACAGCAAGCCACCTGCTGCGGGCTGCCCCCAGCACACCCCAGACACAGCTACCCTGCTGCTGGTGCCTGCGTTTTGCCCTGGATGGGACCAGTGGCTTTGCTTGGAAAAGCAGCCCCATGCACCCAGCGCTGCCCAGCCTGGCCCCAGGGTGCTGCCCCGTTGCCTGCATTCCCCCTGCACCGTTCATGGGTGAAGGGGTCAAGAGGGATCCTTAGGGCTGCAGGAGAGTAAGGGACAGGGCAGGACAGAGCGGTGGAGGAAAGCCCCAGGAGCTCTCAGCAAGCCAGGAAGGGAGGCAAAGGTAAAGGCAGCCACTTGCCCACCTCCCCTTTGCTCCCCCACACTGTCTGCTGCATTTTCCCTTGCCCCACAAAAGCATCCTCCTCCTCTCCCTCCACCCCCCTGCACCAAAATCAACTGGGAAGCGGAAAGGGGGGCAGGAGGTGCTGCAGACCTGGCAGGGTTGGTTTGCTCGTCGATGGCATCCACAGCACTCTCCACGGAGCTCAGGAGCGACTGGGTCTGGTTCGCTGTCTCCTTCAGCAG